ACCCTCCCTACAATAACCTTGTGAGCCCCCCCCCACAACTCCTTTTGGGTCATGACCCCCTACAATTACAACACTGTGAAATTTCATATTTAAATAGCTGAACTCATGACATTTATGATTTTTAAAATCCTATGGCTATGAAATTGACCAAAATGGATTGTGAATTTGGTAGGGCTAGTGATAATTTGTTTTAATAGACTCATAGATTTTCAAACTTAATAATAGTAACAGTCACTGATCTATCGCTAGCATCTTCTTCCAGAGCAAAGTTGTGTTGAAATCTGTGTGGATAGTCCAGGTCTGTTCTATTTAAGGATCTGGCTTCAAGATCCTACCCTGGTAGTAAAACCTTTTACATAAAGTAAGGGCTCATCCAAACAGTTTTTGTACCAATGTAACTATATTGGTTTAGAAACTGATATATTTAAATCTGTACAACCCCCCATGTATGGATGCTGTTATACTGGTATAAAAATGCTTATATTTAGATAGCTTATTTTGGTAAATTTATGGAATTAAGCTATACCAACATAGGCATCTTTATACTGGTACAACTGTGTCCACACTGGGGGATTGCACCAATTTAACTATATTGGTTTCTAAGATGATGTAGTTAAATCAGTAAAAAAACTGTGTGCAGATCAGCTCTAAAATACTTAACAGCAGCTGTTGTAAATGAATCCAGTATTTTGCGTAAGCCTACTGTACTTCTCACTTTACAGGCTCCTATAAGGAAATATTATCTTTGCTGTGCAAACAGGGGTGCTGGAACAATTTTTATAGTAGGGGTGCTGAGAGCCATTGAACCAAACTCTAAACCCTGTATATGATGGAAACCACTTCAAACCAGGGGTTGCTGCCACCCCAGCATCCCTAGTTCCAGCAGCTATGCATGTAAATGACATCTTAAAAAATCTACATTTACATCATCATCTAATTTTCTTCTAGGAATTTATTGCCTATGGGATCAGCAATGTGTTTGCAGGATCTTTCTCTTGTTTTGTTGCTACCACCGCTATATCACGTACTGCTATCCAGGAAAGCACTGGTGGGAAAACCCAGGTAATTTTACTATTCATTTTAAAGCTATTTCAGTTCAATATTGCATAGGACAAAGACTTCACATAGGGTTAACTCCAGGCCACGTAGAGCTAAACGCATGAAACACCAATGCTAAAGCTAAAGGCTGGAATACTTCAAATGGAACTGTGACACTCACAAACTTCTTATGTGGACCAGCCACTAGAGGGACACAAAGACTTTCCTACTATGGGTTACACTTTACATAATAACAACTATATACTATTTATTTAATAGTAGGTCCATTCAGAGGGCAAGTAGCAGGTAGAATATGGAGCTGGTGTGAATTTTCTCCTCTTCCCTTACACAAAGTCACCCTTTCCCAAGGTACCAATTTGTGGTGATTTACATGGACTGATGAGACTTAATCACCTTATATAGTTGAATTGTTTCTGGATTTGGCCGTGTATACTTAAACATAATAAATATTTTAACAGGTCTCCTTGTTTACAAAGAAATATAAAATATACCAACATACGCATTATTCATAGTGAGTTTGAAAACATTGCAGAGAGTCTAAAAATACTTGTTTCATATCAACACTACTGTTTTCTTTGCAGGTTGCTAGCATAATCTCAGCAGGGATTGTACTGATTGTCATTGTGGCTCTGGGGAAACTGCTAGAGCCCTTACAGAAGGTACGATGCTTCTCTTATCCAGCACTCTTACCCCTGCACCATTTAGGCCATATGCTCAGCTGGTGTAAATTGGAGTAGCAGCGCCATTTGGAACTGTGCTGATTTATACCAGAAGGCTATCTGGCTCATAGTGTACAATTTTAATTTACTTAATAACCAGAAAGTGTCCCAAAAACATACAGTGTGTTATCTCTTCTGAATAACCCACTTTTCACAATCTCTCTTTGCAGTCTGTGTTGGCAGCTGTTATCATTGCCAACTTGAAAGGGATGTTCATGCAGGTGTTTGATGTTCCTCGTTTGTGGAGGCAGAATAAGGCGGATGCTGTAAGTCATTTACTTTTTTCCTAAATGTTTTGGTTCTAGTTCTCTTTTTGTGTTTTAACCCCACCCAATTTACTCATAACTTCCACACTTTGTTAACAGAAACAGAATTTTGTATTGTTAACACCAAAAGACTTTAAAACAGATTATCTGGTCCATTAACACAGTTTTGTGTTAGTCTCCCAACACAAAATTCCCCTGAAGCCAGCAGATCCAGCCAGTGAAAATCTCCCCCTGTGTAGGAGGCACTTGTGGCAGCTTCTATATCACATTCATTCCTAGTCTCCAATCGGAAGGGGTGCATCTAGAGGAAAGGGGGCTTGATCAGGTATCCCT